AAGTCTAATCAAATGTAAGCTCCATTAGCTGAAAACCTACACACTAATGGTATTGAGTCTATATAGGCAAATTTTTAAAAGGACACATTATAAATGTTTTAGAATAGGAGCAGAAAATTAAAAAAATTTAAAAGGGACAGAAAAGTGAAGAGATCCGTTTCTAAAGAAAATCACAAGGAGGATTGCATTTTTCGTAGAAAATGCGATGGAGAGCTTCACGTTTTCCATATAAAACGTAAGGACATGTGTGTTTTAAGGAAAATGAACTGTGCTTTTCTTCATTGCCAGACCCCTACACGTGAGAAATCTGGCGTAAATGAGTCGAGCATGACTTTTCTTCATTGTTGACGCCATGCAAGAATCAGGGAAATTAATTACGGGAATTGTTACCCGTGAAGCACTTGGTTCGTCGTAGAAGCACTCAGCGAAAGGGGAAGAAAAATTTTAATGCTTTATTTTTTCTATAAATAGCAAGAAGTAGAGAATAGAATGTTGGTTTGTTTGAAGTTGATTTAAGGGAAGACTGAGTAAATTAAGGTTAGTATTTATAATTACTTTTAAGATCTTTTAATATTCAGTAAAAATAATTTTTGCACTAAAGAATGAGTATGTGCATAATGGTTGAATATTGACATGATTGTTTTATAAGATGTGCATTGTTGAAATTTTTTTTTATAAGTATGTGCATATTTGTTGAATTTTTTTTTTTAGATATGTTGAAAAATTTGATGTTTAAATATTGTTGAAATGTTGACATGAAAAAATTTGGCAATATTGTTGAAGGCAAATAATATTTAGAATGAATTTTTTTTTATGTTTATGATTATCGTGCATTTTTCCCCCTCAAGTTATTTCGCACTAATTTTTCCCCAATTATTATTATCGAGCAATTATGATTATGTTTTGTTATTATATATATTTTAATTTGCGCAATTTTTTCCCCTCAAGTTATTTATAAAATAGTGCACTAAACTTGTGGAACTTGTTGCCATGAAATAAAAAATTTCTAGATAAATAATTGAAAAAAATAACTTTTGTAGAGAGAGAGAAAGAGAGAGATTAAGAGTGAGAAGTTCAGTTAGATAGAAATATTAAACATAAAGTTTTATATTTATACTTCAATATTAAACTTAATAATAATATAGTTTTAATGTGATTTTTTATTATTAATCTAATTGTATTTTATAGTTTATTTGTAAAATAATAATAAGTATTATTTAATATTTAAATATTTATAAGTTTATATTAAACATAAATATTAAACTTAAATAATATCTTAAATAATAGTAAGAGAGGGACAGATTTAAATATAGTAAGAGACTGGCTCTAAAAACTTTTAGGGTTTAGGGTGGCACGAGCATGATGATGTGAAAAAAATTAAGGCATATCAGGCTATCTTTGAACTTTGAGACGTGAGTTGGAAAATCTACAAAAGATTTTGCAATCATTCCAATCACATGTTACCATTAGATTTTATGAAGGGTCGAATTCTTGAACTTGGTCTCATAATGATGGTCATTGAACTGTGGATAAGAATGTCGATGCTTGACATAGACCATTAATATTTATACTGTATACTGGTGTCAATGCATGATAAATTGCTATTAAAGTTTATAAAATGTTTGTTACAATATTTTGAAGAAGGTAAACATAAGGATTTTCTAAATGGAAAAGACTGGCAGCAGATACAAGCAAAATTCATTATCATTTTAACTGTTGTCCTACACCAACTCCTCAAGGTCGTGTATGATTCATACTGAAGAATATGTAACAATAAGAGTAATTTTTTTTTTTGCTACACATTGTTATGTAGGATTTGCTCGTGATGAATATGTCAGTTTTATAATTTTATTTTTGTGTAATGACAATTTCTAATTATACTTCTCACTTCTCTTTTCTTTTTTGCCCTAGCTTTTTTACTCAAGTTGCATTTCCTCGATATATCATATTTGTATTTATGTATATATCCTTTTTTCAAAGAACGTAGTACTAATTCAGTTATATTCAGCATATAATGTCATCATATTCAATCCTCATCAATAAAGCTCTCACATCAAGGGATTTCCCTCATATAATCCCTAGAAAGAAGTTGATCTTTATGATACTGTTCGATTGAAGAATTTAATGTCGTATCCCATGAATGAATTCCTGAAAGAAGAAATAAGATCGAATGAAATTTTTTTGATGTTGTATACATGAATGGTCATGTAATGAAGACGACAATTTATGAGATACATATGATGAAGTAATAATCAAAACTCGTTCTCCATATATATATGTGGATGGAGCACCCTTACTGATATGGGTTGGAAATTTTTACATCAAATGTTTAGGATCATAATTGTCATTTGCTCATATGAGTTATTCTTAAGATAAGAATTGATGAAAATTGAGCGGAAAGAAAATGATTCTGTTGTGGTCAATGTTGAGAATCCAATAACTGATGTGCAATATTATATTCTTTATAAAGATGGCATACTTTGTCAGATGCTTTTTTTAATTTTTAATACCTTCAAATATAATTATTTTTTAATATAACTTTTAAATATAAAATTTTTCAGTAGAGGGAGAAAAAGATCAGAGTTTGTTAATTTAATATTTAATAAAATTATTTTAACTAATTTTAAAATAATTTTTCATAATTTTAACTTATTTTTAATTTTAATAAATTTATTTTTAACTTATTTTTAAATAAATTTAACTTTTTATTTAAAATATTTAAATATTTTATTTAAATTATTTAAAAA